TTTTCAAAAAAATTTTGCTTTTTCACTTAATAATCAATAGACCCCCCCCCCCCCCCCCGAGAACCCTTGAACCTGAGGTCAAAAAATTCACAATTTTTGGAGAGGCATCTTTGTGTATCATAACAATGTACTTAGTTTGTTTAAATAATACCCAGGGGCAGAGAAGAAGATTTTCAAAGAAATAATTCACCTTCACCATAGGATCTATATAGCCCGGCCCTAGCACCAGAACTCCTGTCCCCGGGGCCATAAATTTCACAATTTTGGAAGAGGAAGCACCAGAACCCCTGACCCTGGGGCCATGAATTTCATAATTTTGGTTAAGGGCTCAATGCTTATTACAATCATGCCAACAGTTTGACTGCTTGATATCCAGGAGTAAAGAAGATTTTTAAAGATTGCATTAATTTTGGTAGTTTTAGCCCCACTCCTTAGGCCCCAGGGGGACAGGGGCCACGAATTTCAAAATTTTTAATCCCAATCACCCATAGATGCTATATGTCAAAATTGGTTGAAATTGGTTCAGTGGTTTCAGAGAAGAAGCTAAAAATGTTCAAGAGTCTGCAACCGACGGACCACGCACGACGGACGAAAACAGATAGCAATAGGTCACCTGAGTGACACAGGTGACCTAAAAAAATGGAAATATGTGTCCATGAGGCAGTTTTTCTTATAATTCAATCTGTAAAACAGTTTGAAATTTCAATCACCAAAGATTATATTTGACTGTTCCAAATTAAATCTGAACAATAATGATTTAAACATTAAAGCTGACATAAATTCCTAAAAATGTGACATTTTCATCTATGTACAACTGTTTCATACAAACCATTGCTGTATTCCACCATATTTCTTTCAGATACCTGTCTTATTGTTACGATATATACCTCCATGTGCTTGTTACAATTGAGTGAATTTTTGGTTTGACTATCGACTTATGCTCATCTTCGATGGTAAAGCATTTGGAAACGCATGAATTCATTAAAACGTATCAAAACCACAACAGATATAAACAGTTATAACAATATTTATAAATTTTTATTGTTTTGAATTACAAATGTAAACTAGAACTGTCCAAAAGGGACAAATACCCCCGCTGGGTTTTTCAGAGAAGGTACCAAATCACTAACGATTTCTAGATGTGAGAGATGTTCACAATTTGCTTAAACATTTAGACTGAAAATTTAATTACTCATTATATTTTTTTTTAATGAATGAAACTAAGGTGCAGCCTAATAAAACATCGATACTAGTAATTACAGTGTTTTTTATTACATTGAGAAAATAGTTTGCAACTATCTGTCATCTTTGTGAGACATGACACTATGCAAACTGATTGTTGAAAAAAAAAAAATCATATTTAATTATACAAAATCAAATTGATCTTAATACATTTATATCAAACTCATTTTAAAAATAAAAGGCTGGTTCCAGTAACTATGTATTTTGACAGACATGAATTACAATTAAGAGACTTAGACAACAGAGATCTTTATTTCTTTCTGCCCAATTCCCAGGAGATATAGATAAGACCTGCTTGATCAGAGATGCCCTAACAAATTGCTGATGAGTCCGGGTTCGGCTGAATGGAATAGGCTTGGATTCGGCTGCTTCACAAACCGTCCACACTGAACTCATTTATTAATCTTTAACTGGATGCATGTCCACTCATAACTCCCAAGGGACAAATGGATTTACACTATCTGCTGTGTAATGTAAAAACTGTTTTTAATACTTTATGGGTTTTTTTAAAGTTCTAATGAGTAGTTTTAAGCTGTAGTTCACATTTTTGTACAGATGTTCTAGATTCTAAGTCTCAAACCTTAGACATGAACCCGAAATGACTAAGTCAATAAAAATGGAAAAAAAAACCTGTAAAATGCAGAAAAATTATCAAATAATGTTGAAAATACCAGGTGCACATCTTCATATGGTAAATAATAAGTGTACATATTTTCATACAAATCTATGCAATAGTCTCTGGGAACAGATCCGGACAAAACCACATAATGAAAATGAAAAAAACACCTGTAAAATGCAAAAAAATTATCCAATCAAGATGAAAATATCAGGTGCACACCTTCATATGGTAAAGAATAAGTGTACAAATTTTCAGACAAATCCTTGCAACAGTTTCTAAGAAATAGTCCGGACAAAATCTTGTCTACAGACAGACGGACAAGCTGATTCCAATATACCCCCCCCCCCTAAACTTCGTTTGCGGGGGGTATAAAAAATGCAAGTTTGGAACTGAAAAATATAGTTGCACATGTATTTTTTTAAAGTAGTCGCCAATATATGCATTAAAAACCCTGAAATAATAAGCAGTAAACTTTGTGAACACAATTTGAAATTATCTATCATTAGAATGGAACAAACAACCAGTATCTTTACTGCACATATCCACATGCACTTGATGCATGTCCAGAAAACATGTCAAATGCTGTAAACTTATTCATACCTGTTAATAAGACCACTGCAATGGTTCAAAAATGTGCACATTCCTAGTGATTTACACCCTGAATTCCATTTATTGAAATATGCATCACAAAAAAGTGATAAACTCCATAAAAACTCGACAGTAAACACACTGTCACTGCTAAGTATACAATGTACAGCCTAAGCATCGATACACTTAGTCCATGCTGATCTGCTGATCAGATTGAAACCCATTCACTAACTATCGTTATAAAATTTCAAAAGATTTCAGACGGATCCAGACAAGAAATTTTTAGAAAAATAAATAAACAAGAAAATCTATTTTTGGCTGGGAGATGGACACATCTAATAGACAATTTCCTCTAGTATCTTTCTATATGCTTTGACTGTTGAAATTATTACATGTCTAGAAATAATTCACATTCACATGTGGGATTGAAATAATTTGTACAAGGATGAAAAATAATGCCTTTTTAAGAGCTCATGTCAGCTTTAAGGAGATAGAACATTCCTAATAATATTACTTAACACAGAGACAACTAGTGCTGTACGTACTTCCAGGCCAGTAGGAAGCATTTTCAGTTTTTTTTTTTTTTTGGGGGGGGGGGGGGGGGGGGGGGGGCACGGTCATACATTTTCAGTTGGGGGCACTATCAACTTCAAAAAATTCCTTGACAAGCAAATAAAAAAAGGGTAATCAGAAGGGTAATTGAGGGGGCACAAGCATATAATAGCTATATTTTCTATTATAAGTAATCTATATATCAGTTCCTACAGCCATGACTTCAACACGTTGAATTTACAGATGTTAAAGTGTATTTTGTAGTGACAGTGAGACAAGAACTATGAAATGAGTTATGAAGAAAACCCAGTTCTTGTAGAATTCATGCATTAGAAAGAATCCAAAATAATTGCATCTTATCAAAATTCTTTGCTCAATATAAACAGCCCTAATACAAGCTGGGATAGATAAATAAACAAGAGGCCCATGGGCCACAATGCTCACCTGAGTCAATATAGCCCTGTTGTTCTTCGTCAGCAGATTTTCCTCCCATATATTCATATTCAGTTTTGATCGCCTGTCACCAAACTTGAATCTATACTACCTGAGGATGCTTCCATATCAATATGACTCATCATCGCTTTGTTGTTCTTGAGAAGATTTTTTAAAGGTATTTCCTATACATGTTCTATTGTAAAACTTTGATCCCCCATTATGGCCCCACCCTACCACTGGAGGATGCCTTGAACAAACTTGAATCTACAATACCTGGATGCTTCCATATCAATATGATTAATCATGGCTTTCCTGTTCTTGAAAAGATTTTTAAAGATTTTTCCTATTTATTCCTATGTAATTTTTTTATCCTATGTAAAACTTTGTGGCCTCACCCTACCCTCAGGGGTCATGATTTGAAAAAAAATTGAATCGACACTACCTAAGGATGATTCCATATTCAATATGACTAATCATGGCTTTGTTGTTCTGTAGAAAAAGATTTTAAAGATTTTTTTCAATATATTCCTATGTAAAACTTTGATGACCCATTGTGGCCCCACCCTACCCCTGGGGTTCATGATTTGAACAAACTTGAATCAACACTACCTGAGGATGATTCCATATCAATATGACTAATTGTGGCTTTGTTGTTATTGAGAAGAATTTTAAAGATTTTTCCTATATATTCCTATGTAAAACTTTGATCCCCCATTCTGGCCCCACCCTACCCCGGGGAGTCATGATTTGAACAAACTTGAATTTACACTACCTGAGGATGATTCCATATCAATATGACTAATTGTGGCTTTGTTGTTATTGAGAAGAAGATTTTTCAAGATTTTTCCAATATATTCCTATGTAAAACTTTGATCCCCCATTCTGGCCCCACCCTACCCCGGGGAGTCATGAATTGAACAAACTTGAATCTACACTACCTGAGGATGATTCCATACCAATATGACTAATTGTGGCTCTGTTGTTCTTTAGAAGAAGATTTTTTAAGATTTTTGCTATATATTCCTATGTAAAACTTTGATTCCCCATTGTGGCCCACCCTACCCCTGGGGGTCTTGATTTGAACAAACTTGAATCTACACTATGTAATGAAGGTTTCACATAAGTTTCAACTTTTCTGGCCCAATGGTTCTTGAGAAGAAGATTTTTAAAAGATGACACCAAATTTTCACAAATTCTTAATTATCTCCCCTTTGAAGAGGGCATGGCCCTTCATTTGAACAAACTTTAACCCCCTTCAGAAGGATGCTTTGTGGCAAGTTTGGTTGAAATTGGCCCAGTGGTTCTGGAGATGAAGTCAAAAATGTGAAAAGTTTACAGACGGACAGACAGACAGACGGACTACAGACAAAATGTGATCAGAAAAGCTCACTTGAGCTTTCAGCTCATGTAAGCTAAAAAAATGAAAGTTGAAAATAACCACAACTAACTAAATCTTTCTGTAAAATTATAGAAAAAATAAAACTATAAAACTAATAAAACAATAAAACTAAAAGTACCAATATTTTCCAATCAGACAGGGAGAATTTGTGTTTTTTATACTTACCGGGAAGTCCATCACGTAGTCGCTGTGCCAGGCAGGGCGTCGTCGAATCCTCCCAGATCGTCTAGGTTCCATCTAGATAAAAATAAAAATTTATCAGTATATGTCCCAGGACAAAAGTTAATATTTTCCTTAAATTTCAAATTATATGGCACTAGAGCATCCAGTTTTTCCAGGCTTGTATTTAAGTGAGGTTACAGAACTCCCAATTTGGTAAAATTAACCCATATGTTCTCCGAGTATTTCAACTCTTTTTTTTTTTTTCCAATGAAAGGTTCTCAAGGTTCCTTGTCCTTTTGCTTACTCATATAAAATATTTTCCTTAATGCTTTTAATTGTCCTAGTAAAGAAATCTTATTCATAATTAAAATACACACAATGTCAACATACTTTGCATAGCAAAATTTTACATAAAGGGCAGGTAAACTTGACATTTATTGAAGGAATAATAGTCATGCATTATACTGTACCAGTCAGAGTTACCTTTTTTACCAGAGTTTCAATGAATATTAAAGATTGAAATGTTAAAAGCTAGGTTCAGAAATAAACAACGTACTTTTCTTCAGACAATATTCATTAAAATACCATGTAGTAATTGTGGCCCCTTGTTCATTAATATATGTATCTTTAAGGAGCCTCTATGTATACACTTATAATTAAAATAAGATTTTGGGGCACTAAGAAAACTGTACGTACCACATAAAGGTGTAAATACAGAGTTTATAAGCCCTTCAACTGATTCAAAGGTTCCATGTGAAGAATGTTAACTCATTATTGGAGGCTGTTTACAACAGGTGCAAGATAGCTAAATAATTTTTAAGTATGTGTATCAGTTTAATACTCAAGTCCTTGGTGGGGCAGTGGTCAATGTTTGATCTACATATGCAGTCATAGAGTAAGAGGATCAGTTAGACTTCATGTTGCGGGTTCATGAGAATTTCAACTTACCCACACGAGACGGTATTTTTCCACTCTTCTCCATAATTAATTTCAAAGCTAAGTGATAACACTTCTTTTCTAAGCAATTTTCATTTAAACTAGAAATATGTCCATAGGACATGAAGGCCCCACCGAGGGTATATTAATAATGCAATAATTTGTATAAGTGTATGAAATTTGATGAGAATATCTTGAATAGTTTCTTTAAAATTGAAATCTAAAAAGTTGGATATACGAGGGGTTATCAAAAAGTTCGTGGACTGACGCGATAAAATTAATAATATGTAGTCTTTGCTTACAAAATTTAAGCGGAACATAAAACAACAAAAGTTTAAGAAATGTTGAAAATTTTAGCTTGATACGCTGATAATTTGCCAAATTATTCTAAAATTAAAAAGACTTTATGTGATCACCCGGCGCTGTCGTCGTTTAGTGTCATGACGTCCGCTTAACGTCATTGTTTCTTAATGTCCGCTCTCTCTACCTCATACACTTATCTTGATGAGATTACCTGGAGTTAAGTAAGGACTTAAACCCGTCTTATTTATATGAATTTACAATGTCATGAGCAGCTGTTTTTAATGCATATAATATTGTAAATGGATTTTTATATGGGGAAAGACCCTCACTTGATTATGCCAGAATACTTAGCTTGTTGGAGTTCAATTTCTACCACACATGATCAACGTCACTTTTCGACGTGACTGACTTTTGACACCTTGACTACAAATCGACATTAACTGTGCATATTTCATCTCTCTGAATCTTTTTGGGCATTAAAAAACAAGTACTCTGGATGCATTTTATTTTTCTGTAGCCAGTTTAAACATTCCTTAGGTCAATACCAGTTTTTCCAGGAGCGAAACTCTATAGAGTGTTTGAAAAAGAAACCCCTCCCCCTTTTTGACGTTATTTTCAAGCCCATAATTGTTTGGACACTCCATATAAAATTCACGATAAAATTTCATAAAAATTACAGAATGGGGTAAAAATTGCAAATTTTACTGAACAAATGTGTTGTACCGCATGCCTGAATTAACGAGATTTTTTGATGACAAATACTCATATCTAAAGAGTTTTTCTCAGTTACACTCAGGTAGAAAAAAACGTCATATTAGAGGTTGCGCCGCCTGGACATACCTTTGCTTACAAAAACACTAACAATTTATTAAAAAATAAAAATTCTGATTTATGGTTTATTCTATAGATAGAAAAGATGATGCTAACTAAATGTGTAAAAATTCATTGATGTACCTAAAGCGGTTTTAATTTTATGGCGCTAGTCCACGAACTTTTTGATAACCCCTCGTAGATTGATTGATTGATTGTATGTTGTTTTACGTCCCATTCGAGAATTTTTCACTCATATAGAGACGTCACCATATTCCGGTGAAGGGCTTCAAATTTTGACCTTTACTCGGCACTCAGGGCCATTGAGCAGTGAGGGATCTTTATCGTGCCAACGCCTGCCGTGACACGGGGCCTTGGTTTTTAAGGTTTCATCCGAAGGACCCGCAACTTTCACTTCAAAGTGCCGAGCGCATGGCGAAGGAACAGCTGCTACCCATTTTTTATCGACTTAGGTCAGTCGCGGCCGAGATTCGAACTCACGACCTCCCGATCACAAAGCGAGCACTCTACCGACTGAGCTACCGTGAACGGTAGTTGGATATAGATGATAAATTCTCACCAAATTATGTATAAGTGCATAAGCTTACATAAATACATCTTATAATAAATGGTTTCTTTAAAACTAAGCAAAATGCAAATCGAAGAAAAGTGAGGTCAAAGTCAAAGGAAAGTTCAAGGTCAAACATTTTTGATGCAGTTGAATAGTTCTCACAAATACATATCAGCAAATCAAGTTTGATATGAATATTTTGATGAATAAATGAAGTTAAGGTCAAAGGAAAGGTCAAGGTCAAAAAATGTTGATGCAGTTGAAAAGCTTTCATCAGTATGTATTAGCATATGAAGTTTGATAAAAATATTATGAATGGTTTCTTTAAAACTGAGGTAAACACAAATTGCTAAAAGTTAGGTCAAGGTTAAATGAAGGTCAAGGTACAAAATGTTGATGCAGTTGAATTGCTTACATTAGTATGTATTAGAATATGAAGTTTGAGAAAAATATCTTCAAAAGTTTCTTTAAAACTAAGCTAAAAACTAATTTAAGAAAAGTGAGATCAAGTTCAAAGGAAAGGTCAAGGTAAAAAAATGTTGATGCAGTTGAATAGCTCTCATTATTATGTATCAACATATGAAGTTTGATTACACTATCTTGAATGGTATCTTTAAAACTGAGCTATACACTATTTAAAGAAAGTGAGGTCAAGGTCAAGGAAAGGTCAAGGGCAAAAAATGTTGATGCAGTTGAATAGCTCTCATTATTATGTATCAACATATGAAGTTTGATTACACTGTCTTGAATGGTATCTTTAAAACTGAGTTATACACTAATTTAGGACAAGAGGCCCAAGGGCTTTAACGGTCACCTGAGTACAATACAACAACTGATCAATGAAGCTTTGCTGCCCATAAGCAAGAAAAATAGTATGATTAGGATCAACAAAATAATTGGTCTAGTATCTATCTGTCCCATTACCATGCAGACTATTAACAAAATGTCTATTTTTTAACCCTGTATAATTACCTCTTACATTGGCCTCTCTTGGCCTTTGAAGAACATTTAAAAAGATGTTATTTTTGTCTCATTTTTATTCATATTATTTCCAAGTCTACCTTATCATTAAAACTATGAAAGTACTTTTTGTATTAGACAATAAATATTCTTGCATAATTCTCATATTCTATTAACCTTTCAAATACATTGTTTACAGTGATTAATTATCAAAGGTGAATGGCAAAGGGGAATAACTTTGCTCAGCAGAATACAAGTTAATAGAGCTCTGGCCGGGACCAGAACACTTAACTAAATGGTCCAGGTGTTCAAAATTCTGGTAAAAATACCTTTGCATATTAAAACTTTTACTCTGTTTGCCTTGAATATGCCAAGAAGCATAGAAGATTTTCAAAGAAATGCATTTCCACTATATCATTAAATAAATAAAGCCCCACCCTTACACCAGAACATCTGACCCAGGGGCCATGAACTCACAATTCTGGAAGAAGCAGCCTTGCTCATCATCACCATACACTTGTTTCTTTGCTTTAGGCCAACATTTTTTTATTAAATGATTTACGGGAATTTTTTTTAAAAAATTGGGTCGGGGGGGATATATAAAAATAAAAATAAAATTCCATATTTTACACAGTTGACTAAAAAAATAAAAATAAAATTGGAAAAGGTGTCTGATTTTTTTTTCCAATTATTCGATAAAAATTGCCTTATTAACGGTGTGGACCTTAAAATATGATAACCCCAACACAAAAATTAATGTAGACTTTTAAACCCTTATGAGAAATGGGGGAAATCTAAGGAATTTCTCATCAAAATATTCATCATGACCACAAGATGACCAAAGAAAAAATGTTTGTAAAGAGAACCTCACTATGCTCAAAGTACTGAAAAAATCATGAACCAACAAAATCAAAAATGGAAAATGCAGTTTTATAAAGAGAATCTCAATACAATATAAAACCCAGAATCATGTTTTAAACCTGTATATTACAATACAGCATATAATTATGCATATTAAAAACTTCTGAAAACTTGAAAGTATTAACACATTAAATACTGTTTCGTTTGCAGTGTATGTTTATATATATTCAAAAATTATTTAACACACAACAAAATACTTCTGAATTTTCAGTCTGTACAGTGCTGCATATGACCTTTTTAAAATGTTAACATTACAAGTTTGAAAACATTTCTTGGATATACATGCAAGTTAGGTACACCACATTTTATTCTTCACAAAATTCGAACGTCTAGTTTCGATTTCCATTCTTTTATCATGTTCATCAAAAAGTATATCAAAATTGTAAAAGAGAACTACTGTATACGGTACTCAAAGCTAAAGTGACAGTCCTGTCAACATATCCTCTAGTAAAATTATGCCGATCATTTCTTTAATTTCTTTTTAACTCCGACGTAACTTCATCATCGGACATACTCTAATTTACTTTCTTGTTAGCTATGGTTGACTTGCAAAAACTATCGTGTATAAGGACAA